CATAGGAGAAAAGACACCACTTCAACAAATGGTGTTGGTAAAACTGGGTATCTACATATGAAAGTCTAAAACCCTATAAATCAATCAATTCAAAGATCTCAATTCAAAATTCAGAAACTTGGAAATTACTATGGGAAAACATCTGAAGATATAGACACAGGAAGCAACTTTCTTAATAGGGTTCCCTGAATTCCATCAAATTAAAAAGGTTCTGCACAGCAAAGGAAGCAATAATGTGAAGACAGAGTCAATCAAATGGGAATTAAATATTTGCCAGATATTCATCTGACAGGAGATCAGAAACTAGAATACATAAAGAACTTAAAAAATTAAACACCTAGGGCCAGGTATGGTGGCTCACACTTGTAATTCCAGCTACACAAGAGACATAGGTAAAAGAATTGTGATCTAAGATGGGACTAAGCAAAAATACAAATCTCTATCTGAAAGAACACTAAGGCAAAAAAGGACTGGGGGCACAGCTCAAGTGGTAGAGTGCCTGAATAGCAAGTATAAGGCTCTGAGTTCAAACCTCAGTGCCACGAAAAAAAAAATAAATTAAAAAAAACAAACAAAACAAAACAAAAAAAAATCCATAAGCCAATCAATTAATAGGTGAATAAACTAAGCAGACAGTTCACAAAGAAGTAGTACAAATGGCTAATGAATACATAAAAAAATGTTCAGTATCATTAGGCATCAGAGAAATAAAATCAAAACACTTGAGATTCCATCTCACTGCATTCAGAATAGCTATTATCAAGAATAAAGGTCCGGTGGCTCATGCCTGTATTCCTAGCTACTCAAGAGGCAGAGATCAGGAGAATTTCAGTTTGAAGCCAGCACGGGCAAATAGTTCTCGAGACCCTATCTCGAAAAAAAATCTGAAAAAAAGTAAAAAGCAAAAAGGTGGGCATAGTGGCTCACACCTGTAATTCTAGTGACTGAGGAGGTAGAGATCAGGAGGACTGTGGTTTGAGGCCAAGGTAAAAAGTTAGCAAGATTCCATCTTGACCAATAATTGGGCATGGTGGTGCATGCCTGTCATCTCAGCTATGTGGGAAACACAAATAGGGGTCCAGGCCAGCCAGGGCAAAAAGACAAGACCCTATTCTAAAAATAAAGCTAAACAACTTGACAGTACGGCTCAAGCGGAAGAGTGCCTGTCTGGCAAGCGGAAGGCCCTGAGTTCAACCCACCAATGGATGGAGGATAAAGAACATGTGGTATGTATGCTGAATGGCGCCATAAAGATGAATGATGTGCTGTTTGCAAGAAAACAGATGAAATTGAATTCATCATGTCAAGCAAAACAGATCACTCAGAAAGACAAATAGCATCTTTTCTCTCATCTGCAGAATGACATTAAAAATGATCAAAGTACTTTACATGCATGTGTAAGAAAAATGATCTTTTCTATCAAAGTATTTGTACTTAAAAATTCCTCAGGTCACCATCTTAGGTGACTTGCATGTTTAAACGGTCCTTGCTGCTTCTTCCGGATTCTTGTACAACTCTACTGCCCACCAAACTGCATGCTCTAACCCATCCCCCAAGCCTTTTAGCAAATCGGGAAAGACTGTGAGCCTCTGACCTGGACAAATTCCAGGTGAGGGGCAGGTACAGCTGCATCAGGGATATAAGGAGGAGCCACTGTTGGCCATTTTGTGCTTGCATGTTTGCTTAGCAGGAGTGAGCACATGCATGCACCCTTTTGATCAAAAGAAAATTGCCTTGTCAAGATTTTCTGTCTCTTGTGTGTCTGTTTTCGGCACTAGAGGGTTATCAATTCCAACACATGTATGTATGAAAATGTTACAGTGGAACTCATCATTTTGTACAATTTACATATGCTAAAAAAAAGAAAGAAAGAAAGAAAAGAAAACCATTCAGGGTCAAGAAAGAAAAACTCTGGAATTAGGCTTTAGATAAATAAATGAAAAAAATATTAAGCCAGAGATGTTTCCCTTTTTTATCTCCAACTTTCAGTTAAGAGCCCAAACAAAGCTTTTAAATACCTTTGCTATACCATGATTGTTTTTAAATCAACCACTGCTGATGTAGTTAAACACATATTTAGATTAGCTATTATTCACCAAATTTATTTATAGTCATCAAGGAACTCTTTTAACAGTCATTGTATGTAAAGATTAACTGATAATTCAGCTACTGGATTCGGTTTTAACAATTTCACAGGATTAGGCAAGACAAATGAGAATTCAATTTTGTAACTGAATAAAAGTCTGAGCAAACTCTTTAAAGGTAACTCAACATTAATTTGTAAACTGGAAAACATGTATTACATAAATGCACTTAAATACAGTTGGTACCTTTATACAACTGGACACTTATTTTTTAATGGTTTATCAATGAAAGGGGATCAATGGACATGATCTGAAATGGAAAATGTCATGTTCCTCACCACTGGCAGAGGCAGAGACTGAGTAAGGCCTGAAGGATATGGTAAGTCTGTCCACTGAGGTGGAGAGGAAAAGTACTGCTTCTTCTGTTCACCCATGAACACCAGAATATTGCTTCTCCTTTTATCTCATTTTTTCATCTGAGCCCTTTTCATTATAGTGCTAATACATATTCTTCACACATGCTAATGTCCAACAAACTGGCTGTATTCTAGCCTATTCGTTTTGGCAAGAGGCCCTTAAGCCAGGCCTGGTGGCACCCAACAGTAGTTCTAGCACTTGGGAGGTTGAGGCAGGAGCACTGCTTGAGACAAGAAGTTTGAGGGTAACCTGGGCAATATAGTAAAACTTGCTTCAAATAAATAAATAAATAAAGATAAAATAAAAACAAACACTGATTCATAAAGGAAAGATGAATTAAAAAGCCATCTAACTTTGTTGATATGTGGTGTTCTTTGGATTCCCACTTACTCACTTATAAATGTGCACAGAAGTCTTGTATCTGAGCTGTGCTGAAAAATTCTTCAGTTAAGTCTAGGATTTAGAACAGATTTTCTCATGGAGTAACTTTACA